TATAGGTACTTTACACTTTTAATGAAGGTGGTTTTTATTCAGTACAGTAACAGTTAAAGCCCAATGTAGAAGAATACAATACAACATCTGTTGTGTAGTTGAACAGTTATGTTGCAAGAATGTTTTACATTAGCCATATGTGATGATGGTTTTGAGTTATTTAGGTGGATAACTAATGATTTTTACATTTTTCATTGAATTATAGACTAATGCGCATCTACACCCCAGTGTATCGAAAACTATCTAATATAAGCTTTTTTGAAGCTCAATTGAAGCTAATGGTTTAATTATGGTATGTACAGTGAAATATTTCCTTATTTTGATTTACAGATAATATTAGAAGACTAGATAAGATTTGGATATAAAAAGTAAACGGCTAATATATCTTCTCTTGTTTGTTCGTCTAAAGGTTGTGCGCTAATGCTGTTGGCTTGACTTCACAGGAAGTGTGTTTAGATCTGGTCTCATTTCAGACACTGCTACCCTGTGGCTGCAAACTTGTGTTTGACTGTAAATAGCGGAGATGGAAAGAGTGGGTGGTAAAGAACCACATCTCTGTTTTTCACATCTTTCAGGTGTTGTTTTTTCCCCGTCTGTGTAACTGGGCTTGTGCGGAGTAATCGGTGTATTTTGTAGCAGTGGAGTGTTCCTGCAAAGCTGAAATTGCTTTCAGAACTTCCCTCATTTGATAGTTTTGTAATTGTTCCTGTCAAACAATCATCCAGTGAGAGTTTCTTTCTTTTTTTTTTTTAAGTCTGTTGTTCATATTATAGTTCAGGTGTTATGATCACTTTTTCACTACCAACCCTGTGGATTCAGTTCCTCTCTCTTTTACAAACGTTATTGTTTAAACCCTGGTCGCGTTCGGTTACAGCAGTCAGCTCGGTAAAGCTCTCTCCAAGATCATTCTGTGTTCCCATTATACTTGATTTGTAAATACATGTCTATGATTCAAACAAATCCATCAAGACGTTTTTAACTTTGAAATTTTGCTTCCAGCTAAAACACAAGTTAATAATTCATAATAATGTTTCCTCCAGTGAAAAGGTAATCTCATCTGAATCGGGAGAGAAATATGCACAGATCAAGCACTGTTTACAAGCCATAACAGTCCAAAACAGCTTTAAACAAATATGTGGGTGGATTTTGATGTTAAGGACAGCATGAGATGGACTTTTTCACTGGAGGAAGCATTATTTTGGCCAGAAGCAATTGTTTAAAGGTTTGAATGATGAATATATGATGAATTTGTTTCTTACAAACATGCAGCTTTTTGCTTCTCAGGATGTTAATCGATGGACTGGAGTGGTGTGGGTTATTGTGATGTTTTTATCAGCTGTTTGGACTCTCATTCTGACGGCACCCATTCACTGCAGAGCATCCATTGCTGAGCAAGTGATGCAGTGCTACATTTCTCCAAATCTGATGAAGAAACAAACTCATCTTCATCTTGGATGGCCTGAGGGTGAGCACATTTTTAGCAAATTTACGTTTTTGGACAAACAATTCTTTCAATTGTTTATTGTGCCCTGACACTTTTTTTATGATCAACACATGGGCTTTATGCATTGTTTGCAGATTTATATTTATGAATCTCCATTTCAGATTCATGTTACAAATCTGTGTATTCGCTTGTCTGGCCTGAGATCTTGTGTTTGTAATGCTGATTGATTTATTGAGATGTTGCATGATGAAAAGTATAGGTGCGTCCCAAATCGTGTACTTATGCACTATTCTATAACATTGTGTAGTATAAACAGTGCGAGTATTGCGTTTACACTGAAAATTCCAAAAAGAAAAAGTGCACTTTAAACACCCGGATGATGCACTTAAATAACCGGAAAAACTAAGTGTGGAGTGTTGGACACTTCATGCACTCAACTGTCGCAGCTTTAATTATGTAGTAAAGGGGGAGCGGCTATCAGACTCTGATTATGAATGACAAAATAACCTTATATAATTCATACACTACATGGTTGAGAATATAGTGCATATGTAATGGCAGGTAGATGATCTTAAGCTATAGAGACAAAGCTGTGTTTACAGGTACATATACTTACTGGAAAGTGGGAATAGTCAAATCTAGAGACCAGTATGTCATAGATGTTTGAGGTGGGCTCTATCGACTTGGGCCTGTAAACAACAACCTACAAACCACCCACAACATCCTAGCATTGCTGTTGTGAGTTTTGCACAACCACGCTTTTCTTCAGAACTGGAAAATAATCTAGCTGTTGTTGTATTGCATTGAGTGGGCAAGTTTATACAGAAATACACTGAGTTGAAGACATGCATGAAAGGATGCACATTAAAGAATCTTCTCTCTCAACGTTTTATTCCTTCCTTCATCCACCTTAATTTACACAAGGCTGCTTATGTTTCTTCATGTTCCAGAGAGTCATGGGAAGTTTCTTGTTATGGCAGGGCTTAGAGTCAGGGCAGAGCACTAAAGCCTAATGTGATCTGCACTCTGTTTGCTTTTCTGCTGCCAACGTCATCTTACACAAGCTCATCTGCTGCCATACCAGCTGCTTCCAGCTCACAATCGCATAACTCATAAGAAGTCAATACATTAAATATAAAATATATATATATATTTCATGCGTAGGATACATTTTCAATGTGATATTTATTGCAGTGGATGTATTTTAAGTAGATGTGGCTGTTCAGTTGGTATTATATTTTATTAATAGCTGTAATGCTCGTGCTCATGTTCTGTGTAGAGCGCTAGTGGCCACATGAGTCGATGGTCAAATGCACTGGTTAGAGTGCTTGTCTGGTGAGGTATCAGTGCAAACAAAGTAGGTATGTAAATGTAAACAGGCGGGACATCTGCTCTGTGTCATAATATTGGGTCTGCATTGCATCTAACACAGCAAAATGGAAAGCAACAGTCGGGTCTTGAAACAAAAAGCCCATTTTCTCCATATGGAGATTGAATTGAGAAATCAAATTTGCCTTGATCTTTTGACATATACGAGGTCATTGCACTATAAAAGCATCCTGTAAGTTTCAAAACTCAAAATTGTCTTGTTAGTCTAAAAACAGCTTATATTGAAGGCAGGCTGCCAGAACGACTCGTTTTGGAGTGTGTCACATTATGACATCATAGCAGCGCAACAAAAGACTGCCTCTGCAGAAGAAGATCAACGCCTGTTTCCATTTGCGCATGTAGTAGATAAATAACGAGAGAGTCAAACACAGGTTTACCTGGCAACCAAAGGATAAAGGTGGCTCCGAGGATAACAAGACACTGTGCAGTCTTTGCATTGCCTTGCTTCTGATCCTAACATTAGGAAGGAGTGGATGAAATTTATTTTTAATAAAGTTCCAGATCACGTCAGTAAGAACCTGGTCGTTTGTTCGCTTTATTTTACTGTGGATTCGTTTACAAACAAGACGCATTTTGAAGCAGGACTTGCAGAGAGATTGAAAAGGGATCCGATAGTAATGTCGCAACTCACAAGTAACAAGTGTTTTTATCTTGTGTCACTGCTGTATTGTCTGTTACAGATACAGGGCTTAAAGTTCTCCGGCACCGTGCCGGATCTCCGGCGTGCAGCGTTTGACTGCGTAAAAAAATAATCCTACATTTAAAAAAACTTGTTGATATCACTTTTGAGTCCATGAGTTCTAGATTGCCAGAACAAATTTACCGGGATTTTTGAAAAGGTCCTGAATCACACATGATCTCTTACCGGTAATTTAGCAGTGCTGTATGTGTTAAAGGGGCTAAACACTTCCTCTGCATATGCTGTGAATTTGAATTGCTTACGTTCATCTGGGAAAACAGTGTGCATTATCTCACTAGATTTGTAACGTAAATCATTTATAAACCTTTGCCAACACAG